TCTGGGCGTAGATATATAAAAAACAAGAAGGGGATCTTTAGACAGCATTACCCGAGACATATAATTTCATCCTTCTCCTGATTTTGTTTATAATCTTCACAGGATTCATAGTCAGAATCGGAATCCGTCATTTAAAAAAAAATCAAAATTACTTCAAATTTTAATCAGAGGTGGTGGGTACCAGAGAGAATCGTCGATGACCTATTCATAAGCTTTATTAGTAGTCATTCGTATTCAGGCATTTTGATCGCAATCGATCTTCTTTACCTTTATCGGCGACGTTAGTTTCAGTTATACCATCATCTTCCTGGGATCATCATGTGTAAGAAGACCATTTCTGAGTACCACGTCAATACCCGAATAGGGAACTTCTGCATCAGACATTAGAATCTCCACCTTACCTTCTCTCTCTGCCAAAATTCTATAGACAGAAGACCTACTCCATCTGCCGCTCTTATTTACAAGGCATTGTTAGTAGTCATTCATATTCAGGCATTTTGATCGCAATCGATCTTCTTTACCTTTATCGGCGACGTTAGTTTCAGTCATACCATCATCTTCCTGGGATCATCATGTGTAAGAAGACCATTTCTGAGTACCACGTCAATACCCGAATAGGGAACTTCTGCATCAGTCATTACAATCTCCACCTTACCTTCTCTCTCTCTCTCTCTCTCTCTGCCGATCTTCTATAGACAGAAGACCTACTCCATCTGCCGCTATTATTTACAAGGAATTCCTTCTCCAATCGTTTTTGTATATTTAGAAGACCTACTGCAGATTGTTGATGCTTCTAAAATTTCTCCAAGTGCATGCACATCAATGAATTGCATTACAAGGAAAGGTGCAGCAGTCGACTAAATGTTCTTATCAGAGATAAAACTGGTTGAGGGTACTGCCTCCACATATATAATATGTAGACCCGCTCAATCTTTGGGCTACAAGTGAAACGAAAAAATAATAAAAAAAAAACAAATAAAAAACCTTAAGAGTATCATCTTGAAAAATATTTCAGCTGTGTTGAAAAATATGATGATGAACCCTAAATGCCCATTCAATAGGTGGGCTGGTGGAATAGTCAGTGCTTATTGATTGCCTCCCCAAAATATGAAAAAAATTGTTAGTCAGTCAGCAATCGTCATCATCATCACAAGACTGATCGCAGGTTGAACACTCGTCCCGGCAATACTGGCAAACTATTATGTAAGTCTTCTCTCTTTCTCTCTAAGACAGATCGGCGATTGAATGATGTTTTGGGTGACTGTTGTGGTGGCGGTGTTGGCGTCTATGGCCATGTGGCTATATGATCAAACAAGTAAACATTCTCCAACGGTGTTCTGTGTTGATTTGTGAGTTTGCTGTGCCATTGGACATCTTTATGATTTGGTGGCTGGCTGGCATATCCTGTGTTCGCTTTGGCGATATCAATCGTGGACATGTGGCTGCGGTAGGTAGAAATGACTTAAACCATCTAAGATTTCAAATACTAAGTTATTTCGTCTTCCTTTCTGGCCAAAATGGATATGTTCAATAAACTACGAAAGAGATCACTGGCCAGAGATAGTGTCAAAAAGCTTTCAGTGGGTGTATGAAGAGCTTTTATTTATTTATTTTTTATGGTTTAAATGTTTCGGATTATTGATGCAGTTTCCGCAGCTAAAAAATGCAATGACAGTGACCGTTATTACCGTTTGCTATGATTTAGGTTTAAATATAGATCCTCAGGATATAAAACGGGGTTCCTTAAGCAAAAAAAGAGCTCAGAACCTGGAATGTAATTCTATTCAATATAGCCCTCGAACAAGGCAGGTGATTCTTTATTTATAGAAGGGTGAGGGAAATGGTGGACCTATATTAATAGATGAGCGGGATGTGGACATATTTTATCTTTATAAAAAAGCAAATTATGGAGTTCTACTATATGCAAAGATAGGCGAGAGTAGGAAGTATTCTTTTTTAGAAGATTTAAAGGGAAAACGCTTCTATCTTCAGGAAGCTGGCTGTTTATAGAGGCCTTACTATAGACCTTTTGGGTTTATATGGAAATAAACGATTTTATGGAGGTCTTGTAAGAATAGAAGCAGGACCTCTGGAATTAGAAGACCAAGAAGAGATTTTATGGTAATATTAGGCCCAAAGGGAATCTGAAATTAAAAGGCCTGCATGAATCCATCTAGGAATAAAAGACCTACATTGTGGCTTAAGTGTATAGAGGATCAACATAAGCTCTTCATTTCGTTATAAAAAAAGAAAATGAAATATCGAGAAAACATATACTCAGGATGTCATGTACAGGATAACTATCTACAGGTGGAGGTCTTATGATGTTCACCTACAACTTCAAGAGGTATTCTGAACAGAAAAATAAGTTTTTGAAAAGACCTAAAGGAGGTTGTATTGGTATACATAAGGTTTGAAGGGACTATAAAAACTGTTTTAGATACAGAAGACCTAGAGGATAACTATTGGCTGTAGAAGACCTACAGGATATCTTCTGACTGCAAAAAACCTACAGGAGGTCTTCTGGTTGTTGAAGACCTATAGGATTTTTTCTGACTACAGAACAACAACAAAAGTTCTTCTGGCTATAGAAGCCCTATAGTAGGTCGTCACGTTATAGAAGACGTACAGAAGATCTTCTGGATATAAAAAACCTATGGGAAGCCATATAGATGTAAAAGAGCAAAAATAGGTCTTCTGGCTTCTGAGGAAATACAATGCCTACAAAATGTCTTCTGGCTATATAAAAATTTAAACAGGTCATCAAGATGTCTTTGATCTATAGAATAGCCAAAGGTGTTCTTCTGACTATACAAAATCTACATAAGACCTCCTAGACCTACATCTTCCGCGCTTAGACCTACAAGTGGTCTTCTGGCTATAGAAGAGCTGCATGAGGTCGTCTAGCTATGGTTACAAAAGACCCACAGATAGTTTTCTGCTAATAGAAAGCCTGCCTATATAGCACCCACAGGCCTTCCGGCTATACTAGACCAACAGGTCACCTTCTGTGCAATTAAGACCTATAGGAGGTCTTCTGGATATAGAGAACCTTTAGAAGGCTATAGACAACACGCAGGGGGCTATAGAGAAACAAAAAGCATTCTGGTTATATAGGACTTAGAGTTGTTGTAGCAGCCCTATTGCTTTCACGCAATGAGCTGAAGTGACAAACGTTGGCCGAGGAAAACACGGATCGTAGAACCCTCTGTGATGGCTATCAAAGACCCACAGATGGCTTTCTGTTAATAGAAGTCTTGGATATGTACACCAACAGGAAGTCTTAGGGATGTATTAGAACGACAAGAGGTCTTCTAACTATCGAAAACATAAAGCAGACCTTCTGACTATAGAAAACCTACAGAAGACCTTTTGGCTATATCATCAGTATAACAGTAGGAGATCTTCTGTTGCATAGATCTGCAGGGCATGTTGTTGACAAAGAAAACCTAAAGGAGATATTCTGCCAATAGAACACCGTTAAGAGGTCTTCTGGCTGTATTTTTGATGCCATCGGAATCCAAAATCACCTTCTCATCATTTGTGAGAAGGTGGCTACCTAATCAACCATCAATGCCAGAATTGAGTTTCCAGCACCTTAAATAATTTTTTTATGCAACTTTGGATTATTGGTCATATCTTGCATTAATTGGAAGGTTGCGGAAGGCAGCAGAAGTGGCGGCACTGGAACCTTCAACTAGTTGCAAAACTAATAACACCACCACCAGTAGTTGATTTACCGAGTCAACACCCATACCCGAATCGGAAACTCTGGCAGCAGTCATTACAGCCTCACCATCATTACTTTACATGGGACGCTTATAATTTTCATACACCTCGACAAATGATTAATTTTTCTCAACGTTCACAGGCCTCAGTGTCAGACATACCTTCATCTATAGAAGGCAAAAGCAACATCGATGTCTAAATATAAAAACCCATCTAGCTGTATAATATGTGGAAAAGGTTTCTCCTATGTCAGTATCACCTCCCTTGGAGGAAGAGGCGACTTTTGGGCATAACTGTATGACTTTGGGGAACAGGCGACATACAACCAATCGGGGATTTGTTTTCTCCTTAAGGAGGTATTGGGCAAATAGAATTCCCACAATGGGTGTTCTTATGGAAAGTATTCTATTTACAGCACGAGTAATATTTGAAATACAATAATACATGAAATAAAATATTTACACATTCATTTAGTTTATAATGTTGGAAATATTTATTTCTTTTTTTCTTGTTGTTGTTTGTTTGTTGTATTTGAATTGTAAATTTTAAGAATTTATAATTAATATATGTATTGTTGTAGTAATGTATTTTAAATTAAATTATATTTCTATTATTAAAAATATGTATGTATACGAAGAATATGTAGTAATGGATGCTAGTGATAATGATTATATTTCTTATATAGGATGTATTTTATGTATACAACTAAATTCTAAATAATAAAACGCGAAAAAGAATGTGCTGACATTATGCAGCAATACAAAAAAAAAATTAAGAGATGATATTGTAATGACCTTGAAAATACAACCTAAAATCCTTTGATCGATTATATCAATTCAAGAGGTTTGGTTGGTTCTATGTGAAATCTAGAGGACAATTACAACATGTAAATAATGCTTCCGTGCAACATAAGTGCGTATGCGACAAAAGGAGGAAGAAATAAATTTGTTTTTGGCAATTTTGTATCGGATTACTTCTTCTTTCTTAGCAGAATAAGGTTGCAGTCCCAAGCCTTAAAACGGCGGCGGGAGTAAGTTTTCCCTCTGCTACAAAAACTAAAAAAAATAAAACAAATTCTTCAAATATATAAATTTACACAAAAAAGTGGACACATATCTAAACGTGTGATGAGAGGAGATGCAGCAAAGATAATAAGACACACATACAATGAAATATGTATTGTTGCTTAAAAATGTTGTGGTGCAGAGACATATATCTACTTTAGCTAAACCTAGGTCTGTTTGTTTGTCTGTCTTCAGTTTAGTTCTGTTATTTAAAATCTATTTGTAAAATTGCCAGCAGGCCGTCTCATGCGACGGGCTCTTTGGCCCCGTTGATTGCCAAAACCGCCGCGGGCTGGACTGCCACCTTGTTGCTGCTGTTGTTGATCTTGTTGGCCCCGCTGACTGGGAGAAGTGTTGCGTTGTGAATTACCCGGTGATTCTATAAAAGGAAATTTTGGTTTTAGTCGAACCCTACAAACACTCATAAACAATAATCATTTATTTTTTATTACCCTGCCAGACAATGGGTGTGGGCCTGTTGGCACCACCACCACGATGGAAACCACGTTGTGGTCTACGATTCGCTGTCATACCCTTGGTGGCCTTGGATCGTGTATTAATGGAGGGTGATGTGGAGGCTTCAGCTTCACGTCCTTCTTCCTGGAATATCAACAACAAAGAAAGAATTTAAGAATTAAACAAAGTTCATTTTAGACAAAATTCCCACTTACCTCTACTTCTTCAACAGCTTGTTTTTCACCTTCGGAGGAAACTCCATCGGCACCTTCATTTTCTTCTGAGGTGGCTTCAATTTGATTTTGTTGTACATCTTCTGATTGAGTGGCTCCACTGCTTAGGTGACCTAGGGACACAAAATAAAAATTTAGAAATTTGCTTTACATAAATTCCATTCCCAAAACCTTACTTTCACTGTCTACATTTTCGGATGCCTCAACAGATTCACCGCCCTCTTCATTGAAATCATCCTCTTCGCCTTCAACACCCTCTTCATTTAAACCTTTTTGAGCTTCTTCAGAGGTAACATCACCACTCTTCTTTTCATCATCGTATTCTTCGCCTAAAAACTCTCCCCCTGCACCAGCTTCACTATCATCGGCTGCAACATCAGGATTTTCTTGACCCACATCGGCTGACACATCATCAGATTGTTGAGCAGTATTTGAGGTGGTGGTAGTCGTATCCGTGGTGCCATAACCAAATTTGGAATCTTGTGGAGAACTGACAATTTCAGAACTGTAAGTAAAAACAAATCAAATTAAAAATAACAGAAACGTAGAAAAGAATATTTTGAAATTACCTTTCCGAACGCCTGGCCGCTGAAGTTTCTGATGTTTCATTATTGCCGGCCTCTCCTGCTCCTCCTTGGGCTCCCTGTTGCAATTTCACCAATGTGGCTTTCTGTTGGCGACTCAATGTGTTGGTTTGCTTTCTGACCGGAGTCTCGCCACTACCACTGCTTATGGCCTGACTTTGTTGATTATTATCCTGGCTATGGGCCTTGGCCAAGGCAGCAGCAGCTGCTGCACTTGTACTGGCACCCGTGGCATAAGGATCAGCATCAGCTTGTCCCACAGCACCAGCGGAACTACATTGACCATTATTCTCCATATCCTCATCAACATCAACTTCATTGTTATCGGCTTCACCCAATTCAGCATTTCCTTCGTTGGCCTCGGGACATTCATTTTCATCCATATCCTGATCTTGATCATAATCCTCGTAGACTTCATGTTCACCATCAGCATCGGCGGGACCACCTTCATCGGCCTCCGCCTCAGCCATACCATCATCTTCCTCAGAATCTAACACCACTACATCATCTTCCTGATCCCTTTGCGAAGAGGTAGGTACCTGGTCAACATCGATGCCCGAATCTGAAACACCGGCAGCAGTCATTACAGCAGCCTCTGCACTATGCATGGGAGCCCTCATCCGTTTTGGATGTTTGGATGATGTCCCCTTGTCGGCATCATCTCCCGTGGTCGACGAATCTCCTTCCAATTCACGTGGACGTTTGTGACCGGCAGAGGTACCCGCCTGAGTGGTGGTCACATTGCTGCTGGAAGGTGTATGTCGATTGTGACTACTTACAGCAATGTGAGAGGAACACATGGCCGATGATGACTGAGATGTACTGGGTTGTGGGTTATTGGGATCTTGCATTAATTGAACTGTTACAGAGGGTGCGGAGGGGGCTGCACTGGAACCTTCAACTCGCGGAGAAACTAATGCCACCACTTGCACCTGGTTTACATTGCCACCACTGACATGTGGCTGGGGTTCATTTTGTTGGGGTTGCTGGATACTTTCAGCTTCCTGGGAGCTCTCTGCAGCTGAGGCAGCCGAACCCATCGGTGGTATGGCAGCAACAGCCACCGAGGCTGAGCTGCTAGTTGAGGGCATGTAGTCAGTGTGTGATGATGTGGGCGAAGAGGACATAGTTTCCAAAGAGGCGCTGCCTGTGGTATGGACTTGTTGTTGTGGTGGCACCAAAGCAGTGTTGCTGCTTCCCGTCGCCGAACTTGGTGTTGAAGATGGTGTGGAGGTCGACGAAGTGGACGAAGTCGATGTGGAAGTACCAGCCACAACAGCTGTGGATCCTGCAGAACTTTGTTGAGATGTGGGCAAGATGGCTGCAGTTCGGGTGTTCTGCACAGAAATTGGTCGTATACTGGCCAATGGTGTCTCACCACCACGCCATGGTGTTACCGTGGCGGATTGTTGTACCGATGCGGTACCAGACATGGGTTTGACATTTGCAGTTCTGGGCGAGGAATCAGATATGGTACCCTTATCGGATATGGCCACAGAGCTTGTGGACGGTTTGGCGGATTGCTGTAAGCCCAGCTGGCGATTTAATTGATTGATGCGTATTATAAGCGATTCATTTTCTCTGGTCAGACGTTGTACATCTTCCTTGTTGCGATTATTCTGTTCTAATAGCTCACGCTCTAATCTCTGCAATGTGGCATCATATTGCGACTGCAGTTCATTAATTTTAGCTTCGTGAGCTTCATTATTTTGCAACAATTTTGTTTTGGTGGCAGCCAATTCAGTGCTAACCACATTACGCGATTCTGTCAAATTGACAATGTGGCTCTTGGCCTCACGCAACAATGTCTTCGTACGTTCATCAATCTCAACGGAAGCCTTGAGCTCTTCATAGTCCTTGCGGATCTTTTCGTTTTCTTCCTGCATTGTACGAATCACACCATTCAAGTTTTCAATTGTTGAGCGATGTTGTTCCAATTCAGCATTTGAGGCAGTGGCAGCACCTTCACCAGCAGCGTTGCCGGCCCCAGCGGTAGCATCTATATTCTCTTGACCTGATGCATTGGCATTTGCTCCTCCTTCACCACCTGCTGCCGAAGCTGGAGTCTTATTCAACAACTCCAAATAGGAATCCTTATAACGTTTGGCAATTTTACGTATTTGCACCTCCTTGTTCTTGGAATCTTGCAATTGATGTTCCTTAGCTTCCAAATCTTCGGTGATTTTCTGAACAGCTTCTTCTTTGGCCAGGAGTTTATTTTTCATTTCCATAACCTCCTGCATTAGGCGAGAATTGGTTACCTTCATGGTTGTGACATCAGCTGTCAAACTCTTCTTCTCTTCGGTTAACATATGGACCTGTCTCTCCAACGAAGCCAGTTCACCATCAAATTTGGTTTTGTCTCCCTTCAGAGCCTGCAGCTCCTCAGTGAGCGATTTAATTTGTTCCTTTTCGGCTGTTAACATTTTAGCCAGATTTTCACGTTCCGATTGGAGACGTTTAAATTCTTCGGGATTCTTATTACTCTTCTCAACCAAAACATTTGCTCGTTGACGCCATTTCAATGCTTCGGTGCGGAGACTACTATTTTCAGATTGTATTTCTTCAATCTTCGTGTTCAGATCACGATTTTGATTTTGCAATGGGAACAATTCATCCTCCAAGGCGCTAATGCGATCATTTAATTCCTTAACGCGTTGCGTTAGAGCATTGCGTTCTTCGCGCAGCACACGATTACTATCCGTGACGGCATTGAGTGTTTCGATTTTACGCAAAATCTCTTCGTGTTTGGAAGCTGATACCAAGTTGGTATCGGTTTTACTTCTTTCGCGATT